TTAGCCTAAGAAGAATTACAGATATGTTTTTCCATGTATTTGTAACCCATGGGTATACAGTGGAAAGAGAACCATCTGGAGTGAAAATGCATTACCAGGCATAACCGTCAACAACTGTAACCTGTCATTTTTAAATGTTGTTGAATGCACTTGTTACTGCTGCTGGGGAAAATGACTCACTTTGGCTTTGTTAGCAATGTGCTACGCTAACACCAAAATACACAGGAAAATCAGGCAGTCCAAAAATGCAAGACAAGCATATAGATAGATTTGTATGTTCATATACCCCTGAATCAACTGTGGGAAGTGGGAGTCATTTGTAAAAGCAAAAAGGGAGTACATACTCAAAAGAGTCTTGTGAATGCCAGATGAAGGATGGTGACTGCAGGTCCTGAGAGCAGTTGTATGCAAAAACTTTGTTGTGATGGAAATGATACAGGTTGTGGAGTTGGTGTTCTCTTCTGTATTATATATAGCATAAATTTTCCAAAGACTTGTCACTGTTGAAAATTCAGAGATGGGATGTAGGACCAGGAACATGACTGATACAATGAGTACCTGGAACTGTGCAGCAGCTTGCTGTTACACTCCCAAACCTGTTACCCTGAGCGTTGACAGCCACTTAGAGTTACATATGTGCCATGCTGGTGCCAGATGAGGCTCAGGAGAGACCAGGACAAATACTATGCAGCATGGAAGCAGTCAGCACTCTCTGGAGGTGCTAACTCTGAGCTGTGAGGCCATGAGCACCAAATAGCTGAGCAGGTTGCTGCTTGAAGACCATGATAACAGTATAGATAAAACCGTAGCACTGAGCTGACTTGGCTGTGACAGAGTTGGATCAGATGACCTCTGGAGGTCTCTGCCAACAATTCAGGGAGACTGCCTAGGGAAGATGAAGTGTAATGCTGGAATAATGAAAGGCACTTAAAAAGGCTTCATTTAAAAAAAGCTTAATTGAGCTATGTTACAGTAATTAAAAGATCCACTGCTACCATCTCTTGTTGTTGGTTTTATTTTATTTTTTTTGCCATGAACCACATAGACTCTGGCTGTTACTGTCTCAGCTGTGACCTGCTGTGGTAATAACTGTTGCTGTCAGCTCTAGGCATACTGCCCAGAGGTGGGTGTCTGAAGTGCTCAAGGAATGCATGGCCTTTGTGAAATCATGGCAAAACCAAGTACAATTATATAAACTCTCTAGTAACTAATCCTGTGAATTGTGTCGTAACAAGTAGAGAACCTACATGTTATTTATCCTTGTGAAGAGAGTTCATAGTTATTTCTCTCTGAAATATGTCAAGAGTTAACAAACAAGGAAGGAAAAAATCAAGCTGAAGCTTCAAACAGCTTTTCTTCCTTCTGAAGATGATCCTTGCTCCTTCTCCCACCCCAAGTCTATTTTTCATTCAATAACCTTTGCAGGTATTTGTTTAAAGTATGTTTTGCTATTTTCTCAAACTTCACTCATCTATCTCATGCATTATACTATGATCGAAGTATGTCATCTTTCTTTTTCCTGGTCTGCATTGTTCTTACTCACTGTATTCACCAAAAAAAAAGAAGACTTGGTATGGTTTATTTGCTTGCAGGAGGGAGTTATTTTCTGTTCTGTTTTTACTGCATGTATACTTGTGTGTAGCTCAATCTCAAAAGATATTTCACTTTCCATTCTTCACTCTCCAAATCTCACAGCTGGCAAGAGCCATGCCAGAGTTCTAGTATTTTTCTATTGGATTTGGAAATCAAATTGAAAAAGTAAACAGAAAAGGCTTGAATTTCCTTTGAATTCAACTGCCTCAAAGATGGAAGAGACAGAGCAAGGTTCAGATTAATGAAACATCTTCGTGAAGAGCAGTGTGTGCTGAAGGAGAATATGGTCTGTGTTTTTCTCTAACTCTCTGTCTGCCTTCTAAATAAAGCCCGTAAAATATTACTCCTCCTTTTGCACTATCTTTTAGATCTTTCTGAACAAAATTGTTTATTGGCTTTGCTATTTGGTACCTTCTGTTTTCTTGTGATATTCACTTCAGAACTCAGTCCCTTCAACACGTGTAGCATTTCTTTGCTGTGGTTTTGCTTTGGCTTTTCATCTGTTTGGTCATTTTTGTCTGTCATTCTGCAAAGTTGCTTTTGCTGAGGAATTTTTTTCACTTCTCAGGGCAAATTGCAAGACCTTCATCGAATTAAATGCTTTTCTGGTTTCCACTTGGTTATTTTCTTCACATTTTATCTTCTTTTGTTTCATACAAACCTGTGTTCTCTTCCTTCTCTTAGGTATTTCTTAACATTTGTTGGCAGTTCTTGTTCCTCCTGTGTTCCACTTGCTATGAAGGCACCTCTTGCCTCCTGTTTTTCTTTCCAGTATCTTGAGGGGAAAATCCCTGGGATATCTGATCAACACTGTATATCTGGCAAGAGCAATATTCAGTTCTGTTCTGTTTCCTGAGCAGTGGGTGTGGAGAAAACCCCAACTGCTTGATGATTATCGGGTCATGACTACGTGGAAATTATTGGCAGCTACTGTCAAATGAAAAGAAGAACCTTGCTTCTGTGAAAAATCAAGTTTTAAAAGGCTAGCATGATGAGATAAAACAATAACACAAGACTCCAGACTCAAGCTCTCTAAATCCTATTGCAGTTACAATTATCTAATGCCATTATTGATTGTTTTTCTTAATCATATATTGCTATTCTGTCATTATCAATACTTCAAGATTTTGACTTGGGGTTTTTAGACAATGGGAAGCAGCAACTTGTTTAGTCCTTTGCCTCACTTAACAGTATTGAGAAGTACAACTTTAAATTTGAAGAAAGTGGGCTCTTCTCATATCTATTTTTTTGTCATTTTTCTCACGTTTCGGGAGTGTAGTAAATGACTTTTTAACTGAGATGCAGTTTTGATTCCCACCTCCCCCTTCCCAATGTAGTGTCGAAACATAGTCACTTGCAAAATGTTTTTCTTTTTATGTTTTAATTATAGCATACCATTATTTTTCTCCTTTTCAGACAGCCTGTTTTCGAGAAGAGAGAGATGTGTTAGTGAATGGAGATAACCAGTGGATCACAACATTACATTATGCATTCCAGGATGAAAACTACTTAGTGAGTGTTGCTTTTATGTGTATATGAATGGAAATGCAGATTCTTAGTTGTGTTTTACACTGAAATATAGTTGGTTTATTTGTTAATTTTGTGTTCTGGGCCATACAGACTATGTGAGGATCTGTGATTCTGTGCAGAAGGTTCTGAAGGGTGGAGACTGGCTAGAAACTTTGGAAGTTTTGCTATAAATATCTCAGGAATGCAGCTTTGTTTTCTAAACCAGTTTGCATTTGTTGATAAACCTTGATCTATCTGCTTATATTTTGTTAACCTTCATCACTCCAGTTTAATTGGATTCATAAGAACAAGTGTACTTACTGACCATTTTTGTATTTGACATTAATTTTTGTGATAACATTGCTGATTACTGTTTTACAGAGAGAATAGGGAATAGCCCCATTTTGAAACAATAGTTCATTTTGGTTAGTCTTCGCTGTTCCGAGGACTTAAACCCACTAAGGTGTCACAAAGCAATAAAATGTTATTGCAGCATGGAAGAGTGCTATTAAATGTTCATAAATAAGAGTTGGAAGCTGTAATTGTAGATAAAAGTGTCTAATGTTATTTAGTTTTCAAGTAATTTGAAATACTTGCAAAAAGAAGCAAGTATGAGGAAAATGTGCCCATTTTCTATGAAATTTTTCCACTTAAAATATGCTTTGATTGTGTTACAGTTTTGGTAATATTTATGCTTGGAAAAGTAAACAATTGCACATTGATGGTTTTGCTTATTTGAGTTTTATTGCCCTGTGCTTTGGATTCTATAACATTAGTCAGTTCTAATAATTTCTTTAAAATCTACTGTGCAGTCACAGTCTTTTTTTTCCTCCCAGTCTGTCCAATAAGAGAAGTGCTATTCATGGAATTCTTGCAGACTTGCAATTCTTTTTGCCATTATGTGGCATTCTGTTCTGTCAGCTCAGATACTTGGAGATCCATGGATTTTGGTGGATTTGTGTATAAACTGGGCTCTGCATTTGTGAGTCTATAACTGTTGGCTTAAATACCTCCGAGCCAGCTTCATGCATTGTCAATGTGGACAGTAAAATAATCTCGTGTTTTATGTAATTCTAATCTTACCAGTAACAAAATTTCAAAGAAAATACTATATATTCTACAACAGCCTGCTAGAATTTGTTTTATTCTTGTGAATTTCCTTATTTTTACTAAGCACAGAGCAGGTTCTGTTTTTTGTCTTTGATAGTCTGCTAACAGGAGCTAGTTTTGCAGCCTGCTGAGAAAAATATCAGCAATACTTGGGCTTTTTTGTAATTTCAGTGTGAATGTATCAATAGCTCTCTCTATGCTTTTTTAGTAAAATCATGCACAAGTGGCCTCAAAAACCAACCAAACAAACAAAGACCAAAAAAACCCCAAACCCTGTGTAGATTGAGCAGTGGGTGTTGTGTTGTTTTCTATTTGCCAAAATGTTGTCACAGACAAGCTGACCAGTGTGCTTTAGATAAGCAGCAGTGAGATGGATTAAAAACTGAACTGCGAATTTCCTTATTTTTACTAAGCACAGAGCAGGTTCTGTTTTTTGTCTTTGATAGTCTGCTAACAGGAGCTAGTTTTGCAGCCTGCTGAGAAAAATATCAGCAATACTTGGGCTTTTTTGTAATTTCAGTGTGAATGTATCAATAGCTCTCTCTATGCTTTTTTAGTAAAATCATGCATAACACAAGTGGCCTCAAAAACCAACCAAACAAACAAAGACCAAAAAAACCCCAAACCCTGTGTAGATTGAGCAGTGGGTGTTGTTTTTGACACTATTTGCCAAAATGTTGTCACAGACAAGCTGACCAGTGTGCTTTAGATAAGCAGCAGTGAGATGGATTAAAAACTGAACTGCTGGGCTCATTGCTTCTGATGTGACCACCAGTCAGTGGTGGTGTACCCCAGGGCTCAATACTGGAGCCGACATGGTCATCAATGATCTGGACAGTGGGATGGAATGCACCCTCAGCAAGTTTGTATGTGTTAAAAACCAGGGAGAAGTGGCTGATGTGCTGTCATTCAGATGAACCTTGACAAACCAGAGAACTGGGCAGAGAGAAAGAAGTTCAACAAAGGGGAATGCAATGTCCTGCATCTGGGGTGGCATAAAATAAACCCAGTACATGCTGGGGGTCAACTGGCTGGAAAGCAGCTCTGCTTAAGGTACTGGTGGATTACAAGCTTAAGCATGAGCCAGCAATGGACCCTTGCAGCAAAATAGGCCAAGAGTATTCTGGGTTGGAAGGAAAAGTGTTGCCAGCAGGTCAGAGGAGGTCTTTTCTCTGCACAGCCCTGTTGCAGCTGCTTCTTGAGTATTGCGTCCAGTTCTGGGCTCCCCAGTGGAAAAGGGAGGTGGAGCCACTGGAGCAAGTCCAGTGCAAGGCCGGAAAGAAGACTGAGACACAGGAGCATCCTTCATATAAGGAGAGGCTGAGGGAGCTGGGATTCTTTAGCCCTAATAAATGCAGACTTGGGGAGGTGGAGGTGTTAACATGTATGTGTATAAGTACCCAATGGGAGGAAATGAAGATAAGGGAGCCAGATTCCAGTAGTGTCCAGTGAGAGGACAGGAAACAGTGGACACAAACTGAAATCATGAACACAAGGAAACACTGCGTTACTGTGAAGATGGTCAAACAATGGAATGTGTTCCATGGAAGAGTTTTGGAGTCTCCATCCTTGCAGATACTCAAAACTGTATTGAACACAGCCATGATCAGCCTTCTGTAACTGACCCTACTTGAGCAGATGAGGTTGGAGTAGACAATCTCAAGAGGTCCCTTCTGAACTAAATGAATAGGTCTGTGATTTAAAATTAAATACCTGTGTTACTAGTTACTAGAATTTAGTGTCCTTAAATCTGTGCTTTTTCTTTCTCTTGGAAGGATGGTGCTGTAGTACAGTTGTATTTTGAGAACTATTTGAGACTTGGATAGATCTGGATGATTGCATGCATTTAGAATGTAGTTTTAAAGCTTAAAAAACTCTCCCCCTTTTTAAGGACTTGGATATTTTACATTGGATAGGATGCTACATAGTGACAAATTTTATTTAAAATTTAGTTGTTAAATTTAGCTGTCATTCCTATGCATGTGTTTAACTTCATTTGCACAGCTCAATTTGAGTTATAGTTTACATGTTGGCTTATTTGAGAAGTTGAAGATTTCCTTGTCATTAGGCTACTGTGTTGCTCTTGCAAAATGGGAGATGCAGAATTCTGTGTTGTAAGAACCAAAATTCCATTATTTTGGTATATTCAGTAACTGAGTTTTACGGGTCTTAAAAGTGCTAAAGAATGAGTATAGAGATTCCACATGAGTTAGGAGAATCTTAAGGGTTTTTTTCAATATGCTTTCAAAGGAGTAAGTTAAGCTTTTGGCGATTTCTATACAGTTATTAATCAATATCTGAAGTTCCAAAGGCTTGAGTACATTTTCTAAAATTGTGAAACGTGAGAAACTAATGCTATAGGTCTTCTGAGGGAGCATAGGAGCACCACTGAATAGAAGATATTTATCGTGTAGAAGGTTTGTAAGCATAATTGAAGAAGTTTATTATTCTTGTCACAAAGCAACAGATGAAAATTTGATTGTCAACACATTTAGAATCTCATGGAAATGCATTTTGTACTTTCTTCAAGCACTTGGAATCAAGGAGGATGCCCAGGCTATTCTGTATCAAATTGTTAACAATCTTTGTTCATCACCTGTATTGTTATGGAAAGTATGATGGAAAAGTAACTGCCTTATAAACTTCATTTTCCATACAGCTGGTGTAATTTTACAGATTTTTTTCGTACATATTTTAGTTTCTTTAACTACAAGTGGGAAAGATGTGAACAAATTAGGAGAACTGGTTATAACAAGTCCCTTTAGCTTGCTTTATCAAAATCTTAAGGAATCAAATTGGGATGTACATTATTACATCTTGAGTATTTTTTATTATTTGTGATCTTGTAAAGAGTCACTACTTTGAATGCAGGTATTGGCTGTCTTCTGGAAACAGAGGTTGGAACTCTAAGTGAAAAGCTTTCAGATGCTATGTACTTTAGTGGAAAGTTATTCTCAGGCACATAATGTGGTTCTTGGGGCTGTCCTGTTGCAGGGCCAGGAGTTGGACTTCGATGTTCCTTGTGGGTCTCTTTTAACTCAGAATAGTCTATGATTCTAATTAATCTGCCCACAATGATATTTAAAAGTAATATCATAGGGCTGCATGTTAAATTAGAATGCTTATAAGTAGTTAATTATTTATAATTGGATTTTAAATTTTTTTTTTACTTTCCCCCATTTGCCCTTCCATTTGCTGTTCCACCTATGAAACAAACTAACCTAAGCTAAAATATATATTAATCCTGAGTTTTGCACTTCTCTTAAGTTTACTTTTTCTAGTCATATTGACCATGTTACTAAAAGAAGTGGCATTTCATTCTGTAAATACAGTAAAATGCAGAAAGGTTCTCATTTCTGTAAAGTCTTTGCATCCATTTTAGTGTCAAGTTTCATTAATACATCAGAAATCAAATGTATTTTTCTCTGTCATTTCAATTAGAGAAGGTGACACCTTGTATTTGATGTTGCCAGATCCTGTATCATGTGCAATGTCAGCAGTATCTGAAATTGTACAGTGGGCCACTGGAAGTCTCTCAGACTTTGCCTTAATCTGAGTAGTCTAAAAGCAAAACTTTCCAAACCAGTTTGTTTAATGTGAAAAGAAGATGGTAGGGAAAAAGAGAAGGGGAAGCCTGAGAAATTAGGGTACATAAATGAGTTTACATATTAACACAGTTAGCTTCATTTTTATAGGTATATGCTTTAATCCTTTACTCCTTTTCCATTCTATCAAAGGGTATTGTTTTCATAAGGGAATCCTGAGTATCTAAATATTTCATGTGTTGATGATGGGACAGTGGATGAAGTGATACTATTTTGTCATGGTACTTACTGTATTTGGATAGGTTTAAATATGAAAAATATTCAGTAGGTTAAACATGAAAATGCATGTGAACCAACTACTATTTTCAGAACAGCTGAGCATTTGTTTAGCTTTTATGATGCTTGAAATAATTTTTGCAATAAGTTAATTTTTATGCTTCAGTTAGTTTTTAGTCTGCAATTCACTCAATAAATTGTGGTGGTTTTTTTTTTTTCCCCTCTGCTCTGTTTTCTTATCATTCCTACTCCATAGTACCTGGTTATGGATTATTATGTTGGAGGAGACCTGCTTACATTGCTCAGCAAGTTTGAGGACAGACTACCTGAAGATATGGCTCGTTTTTATTTGGCTGAAATGGTGATAGCCATTGATTCAGTTCATCAGTTGCATTATGTTCACAGGTAAGTAATTTGAGCTCCAAATTCCTGTTGGAGTTCTGGAGAGTTACTTGATGGAGTGAAATTAGTTCCTGTTAAAGAGTTTAAGCTAGTAACAAGTACTTACGTTATGTGAAGCACATTAGAACCCACCTGCCTACATGTTGTGGTCATTGGAACTGTTCTTAAACTTGTACCATATGGTCAGAGATATGAATGAATATCTGAATGCATCTGATGAATCTGGCACACGGGTATGTTTTAAAGTTGATGATCCATAATTTATAAAAGCAAAACTGGAAACCTCTTTGTGAAATATGATCAACTCTGAACAAACAGGTTTATTGAAAGGTCAGTTTCGGTTTCTTAATTAATTTGTTCAGTCTGTACGGAAGCCGAAAACACACCATTGTCTGCTTTGAACTTTTGTCACCATATTTTTTTGGATGTAATGAAATTATCTTTAAAATGAAGTGAGAGCATTTTGCTAAATGAGTGGAAGTACTTAAATTGTGGTACTTATCTCAATCTTTATATATTTATATATTTATTTATAGTGTTCAAAGGAGAATATTAAGTCATGTGTGGATAGTTTTTTGTGGAGACCATAACTGATTTTTTCCACAAAACTAGCATCATCTTACTTTAATACATCATTCTCTGCTGAATTACATGGTAATTCTTGTATGCAGAGGAACAGATTACCTTACAAGAGGCAGAATTTTCAAATGCACTCAGCAGATGTACTTTGCTCTGACAGAAGTCAGGAGGAAAACTTCCAATTCTTTAAGCTGAATCATTAAGTTGGCAGAACAAGCTTGTTTGATACATCCATCTCTTGCCCTTAATTAGAGTCTGTACTAACTATGCCTTCTTTTCCTGTTCTTACTTGACTGCTTCACTGCAGAAAATATGGTTTGGGGTTTTTTTTTTGGTCTATATTTTTGTTTTCTTTTGTTTTGGCTTTGTCCAAAAGGTATGTTGTGGTTGGTCTTCGTGTGTTACTGGGTTGTGTTTTGTTTCCTTTGCGATTCTGGATTTTCATGAAATTGCTGTAGCTGGGAGTGTTTTAAGGTGTGGTGGTGCTAAGCTGAAAATTGCTCTTCTGGAATATTTTGAAGTCTGCTAGTTTTGTTGAAGGTCTGTGTCTGTCTGCTAAAGAGAGCTTTGTGTGATAATGCCTTATGGAAAAGCCCAAACAGAGGACTTTTCTTCAATTTTGAGGATTTCAACTGTGTTATTTCTGAAAAGCTGTTTGTTGACTTATGACCTGTTGTGAAAGGTTTTTGCATTCCGTTTAATTCGGATCTAAATTTTAAAATGTGTTTGTGGGTAAATTGGTGAGATGGTATCTCCTGTTGCCAAGTGGAGAGTACTTCGTGTACTCCATAAGTTGTCTTTTACCCGTGGAGCCTGCATGTGAGGGTAATGACTCTTCCCAGAAGAGCACATCCCTGCCTTTTTAATTCAGCACTGTTAGTATGTAATATGCAACAGATGTGATGTTTCCATCCTGACAGTTAGTGTCTCCAAGATGAAATAGGTGTTGGCCTAAAATTTGGAGTGAAAACTTAAGTAGCATTAAACAATATGCAGTTACTATCCTTGCATATTTATTGCCTTGAATGTTTGGAAAAAAAAAAAAAAAAAAAAACCCCTATACATTTTTGGCCAAAAAAAAAAAAAAAAAAACCCCCCATACATGTTTGGCCAAAAAAAAAAAAAAAGCAAGCCCCTATACATGCCCAGTCCTTTGCTGTTTGATTTGTGGCTTTGCCGGTGAGGTTCACGTGTTCTAACGTTCTAAATGCCACTTTGGCATTTTGTCATTAGTACTGCTGTAATACAATGCCTGTTTAGAAGGAGATGTCTGGCAAGATTAAAAATGTAAAGAGCACTTGAGTATATGTTAAATGATCAGCCTTTGAAATGAGACCTGTTCCAGTGTTAGTTTTATTAGGATGCTTGCAACTGGCAAAGCAAAAGAAAGGAAAAGAAAACACATCCCCTAAATGCCACTAATGCACTTTTCCTGAAAGTTTAACCATGGTGGCCACATCCTTTTTGGAAGTGTGTTGCACATAGCAAAGGACATAGAAGAAGAAGAAGGAAATACTGCTAAAAGCTGGATTAATGTAACAGCTGCAGTAGTGATATTTCAGATGAATAGCAAATATTCATCAGGATTTTATGAGTTGTAGCTACTGAACTAGAAACCACACTTTAGGCATATTTCAGACAAGGCTTTTTTCATACAGTGAGACAGCAGTTTGCTTTGTTTTGTATCCTTTTAATGCCCTAGTTTTTTCAGGTTAGATTTTCACATTAACCATACATAGTGTACTTTGATGATAATTTTCTGGTTTTCTCTGAATGTTTGTGTGTCTCTTGGTCTTTCCTAACATTAGTCATGGTTTTTTGTTGTTATGTAATGCTTACACCTACCCTTCATGCCTTAAATTACAAATCTGTACTAATGAAGTGATGCTTGCTTGTAGGCCAAGGTTAAATATTGTCTTGTGCCAGTTTTCTGCAAACTGCAGTATCATGCAGGGTAAGATTTTTCCATTTATTAGGAGTCAATATCAAGTTGTGTTCTATTTTTGTATATTTTTAGCACCTTTCTTTGTTTTGGTTTGGTTTTTTTGTCCCTGAAAAAAAAACCCCTACATGCGTTAATATTAATTTCAGTGTCAAGATTGTGTTGTTATTTAATTTCTCGTGGCATATGTTAAAAGCTTATATTTGCATGCATTATTAAATATCCAGATGTGGGCTGCAGTAAAACCCTTACTAGTTTAAGCTAGGTCGCTACACTTTATTTATGCATGTTACATTACCTCAAATACATAAAATTTGGGATTTTATCAGTGCGCCAGGTTTTCTCTTCATTTTATATAAAGTGGAAATGCTTGCTCTGTCTCCAGATTTGTAAGTAAAAAAAGACTTGAGAAGGCCTGGTTGCTGCTGAAAGAAATTTCCCGTGAGGATTGAAGGAGTGCCCTCTGGGCAGGTACTAGTCCCTAGGCACAGTGAGTGTGCCACTGGTGGCTTTGCACACCCCTGTGTTGTGCCTGTGCTGCTGCCTTTTGAGGCAGCCCTTTAATAAAGGTGCATCTAAGTCTGTCTCTGTCCTGAATTTAATTTGGGACAGTGCAGCTTCTTGAATAGTACAGAATTATAAGTGTTAATATGCTTAAATAATTTTCATCTTGACTTTATTTCCTCCACCTATTTATTCTGAACACGGTTGCGCAGTGATTCAGGGCAGAACCAATTTGCAGCGAGGAAGTGTTCAACATTTAGCCTCATTATCCTCCAGACCACTGCAAAAATATTCGTTTTAAATAGTTTTCATATATTGGCACACACATTAAACAGTTGCCTTTTTCTATTGCATGGTAAAACAATCTGTACTTACCTTCTTACTGAGAAAATATTTTGGAAGGATTATGAAACACTTATGTTAATTATTATTTTTGTTGGTTATGTTTATGGGAGGATAGTTAAGTCTACAAGGCAAGCTCTTAAGTTACATACATTTCAGATGTTGCCTTTTGCATGTGAGAAGATAGGCACACAAAGCGTAAACACGGCTACTTCCAGAAGGTATGTTGAGATTACAGTTAGCTCCATCTATGTGTTTCTGGGTTTTTACTTGATGCTGTCTTTTAATCGGAAGGATTTTAGCATTCTGAACCACCAGATACTTTTTATTTTTATTCTCTTTCCGTTTTCTCTATCGACTTCTGAAATTTAAGCTGAGCCTCACTGGAACATTAGAGCTCTTAAAATGTAGAACAGCACAATTCTCTGAGGAAGTGACATCCTTTCTGAGAAATATTGAACATAAGGGAATAAATCCATTAGAGGGATAAAAGAACTGTCTATTCCCTATCAAGACAGCCTCGTTGCTTTTAACAAGAAGGTACTATTTGTCCTCAGTAGAAATCATGTTAGGGACATCCTTGAAATATTTACTGTTAGCAAGTGGCTGAAAGATGGGATTCTTTGTAGGATGCATTTCACTTTCAACTATAAGTTTCAGTGCCAGCGTATCCATTTTTGACTTGCTGAATAAGTGGTTTTCAGTATTCTGGGTGTATCCCATCTTTCCTGATCATTAATTTGCTTAAGTGGAAAATTCGGGGGTGGGGTGGAAGGCCCATCTAGGGAGTTAGCTGCATTGCACAGTAGGTCTGAGTTGAATTGGCACAAGGATGAGCCAAGTGCTCTGGCCTTTGGTAAAATGAGCCGTAATTGTGGCTTTGAAAGAAAGCAACATCGTATTTTAAGTGTTTACCAAACTTTGCAACAAATATAGTGTTGAATACACACATGAAGATATCCTTACAAAGTGCTGAGAGTGAAGGAAACAAGGCTAGAAAAATGACGAAAAGATAACATAAGATTATTTAGATAGTCTACGGAAAATATATTGCTTTGAAATGCAGCATGGTTTAGTTTTACAGGGGAAACTGCAGGACAGGAAGTTATTTTAGTGAGTGTTTGGTAAGCTAGTGCTTCCTTACAAGGTATTCCTTGACAGAGGTAGGAGAGCTCCATGAGTCTAGGCTCTGTGTTTCTGCTCCATTTTTCCACTGAGGAGAGACTGGATTCAAAGATCATATTTACAGATTTTGAGCTTTCATTTTGCCTTGTGACCCTATATGGTACAAGTGTGGGCAGCTGCTCTCAGTGTGCCCTCAGGGTGGCATCTGACCTGCAGTGATGACTGTATGAGGTTAATGTTGTTTGACTAGAATTTGTTGGGAGGATTTCCAAAGGAGACTGTGATGACCTAGAAGTATTTTGAAATAAAAGATCCACAGATGATTGGAGTGCCAGAGCTAGAGGCTCACACCAACTGTACAATCATGTAGAAGGCAAATGGTTTCTTAGAGTGTCTAGTGGCAGTGTTAATTTAAGTGAAAGGGTGTAATAAATAGGTGACTGAGTAATTGTAGACCTATATATATAATCTGTTATTTGAGCAGAAGGAGTTTAGAAACCCTAACTCCAGT